CCTCTGTTAATATGAAACTCAGGAGGCAGAAAGAAGGGAAAAGACTAGAGGGATGGAGACCTAACTAGGCAGGGTGCAGGGTTTTGCTTTGGGGCACAGATTTGCGAGTCCGAATTTAACCTTTTGTGAGAAATGGCAACAATTGTGATTGATTGTGTGCTCAAATTCATTTAAATGTAAAAAACAATGTTATTGGGGTGCCTCTCTAAGTGTGGACACTTGTGGGATGATAGGAAGCCTATTTGCAGTAGGGAATCTCAAGTTCATGCTTTGATGACTTCTCTTTGAAGACCATGAGTAACGGAAGGTTTTTCATAATGCTTCAGAGCCTATCATTTCCTTCATGAACTCTCAGGTCAGGTCAGGATTAGTTGGGTTGACCCGCTGTACTGGTCTTTACCTTGAAAACCAGATCTGGTTGTAAAGGAAGGCAAGGATTTGGGGAAGCCTCATGATGAAGGGTCATCTGCCCTGTGACTTTCCCCCTGCTGTTGTCAGTTGTTCATTCCAGGCAGAGTTATTAGTCACTGTCAACAATGTTGATCAACAATGAATCTCCCCTACTCCAATCACAATCATTCACATGGGAGATTCTGACTATATGAGTGCATTTCACAGAGGGTATTGTAGAATCATTTATCTGCTTCATAAAAATGAGAATTTTATCCTCCAGTAATGTACACGAAGTCCGTTAAAATATTCTTGTACGCTATTAAAGACCTTTAAAGAAAGGTAAATGAAATTTGGGTCAAGAGCCTTCAACTACTGCAGAAAAATATGATGGACTTTTTTTTTCCAAAGTGATTTTGAGTCATAAACATGGAAGAGTTACCAAGGAATTTATATATTGACTTACATGGTTAATTTCCCATATTAAAAACATGAAGTTGATCGTAATGAAAAGAAAATTTGTAACTATGTTCTCAGTGTCAATTGCGTGTGTCTACTTCTGTTCTAGATACTAGGGTGTGTCTTCCTGTTCACCAAGGTTTTTATTAATCACTGCTTTTTCAACGTTTTTTTTTTTTTTTTTTTTTTTTTTTTTTTTTTTTTTTTTTTTTTATTTATTTTTGGGACAGAGAGAGACAGAGCATGAACGGGGGAGGGGCAGAGAGAGAGGGAGACACAGAATCGGAAACAGGCTCCAGGCTCTGAGCCATCAGCCCAGAGCCCGACGCGGGGCTCGAACTCACGGACCGCGAGATCGTGACCTGGCTGAAGTCGGACGCTTAACCGACTGCGCCACCCAGGCGCCCCTATTAATCACTGCTTTTAAAACACTTGGTTTTAAATAGGAAAATACAGATCTCCGGTCTCTTTCACAAATATTAACCCAGTGACTATAAAGTAACCCATGGTGTGTTTTGTAACTCACTGCTTTTGTATGTTCTGGCTCGTTTGGTAACTTCACAGTCTTGGGTGGAAGAGAAAAGATCTTCAAGAGGCAAGAAGAGTAATGTAAACATCTCATGTTAAAATTCCTGCTAAATTTCATAAATGTAAAAAAAATGCTTTTATATTCCTATGGCTTTCTTATATCCTTCTGCCCTTTCATTAACAATGTGTGCTTTTTCACAGCTTAAAAAAGGCCAGCAAAACCAATTCTATATAATTGTCAAAAGCAGAGAAGTGACATCTGTTAAAAAAAAAAAAAGACTTTATAATTTAGTTCATCTCCCTCATTTTGCAAATGTGGAAAATGAAATCCCAGAGGGATCTAAGGTCATCTAGCAAATGGTGGAGGTTTTAGGGCAAAGACCCCAGTGATCCTGTTCCTGGTCCAGATTATATTTCTTTTTCTTATTAGCGAACATTTTGAGTGAGCTCAAATCTCTCCAATTCTGATACCAGTCTTTGACGTATAAAAATCACAGAGGACATGCCTTTAGGAAAGAACGTACTGCATTCTTTTTTTAAAAGTATTTTGGTGCCATTGTCCATATTCATCTAGATTTTTGGGTTCATGATCCATATGGTTCTCTGGCGGTGATTGGACCTATCGAGAGTGTTTTCATTCAGTGTAAGAGTTGTCTAAAACACCTTCCTATAAAGAACATTAACATGAAAACTAACATTACTTCACAAACTAACTTTAACATAACCAGTATCAAACTAAAAAATACCATCACAATAATAGATAATAACCCCAACAGCTTTTTTTTTTTTTTTTAAGGCTGTTAGTTGCATCAGGGATCATCCTTAGTTTTTCATGATTTGCTTATTTAATCCTATGAAGTAGATGCAGTTGTTATCTGTTTTGTAAGTTAGAGGCTTACGGCTTCCTCTCCGGAACGTATGTTAGAATTGAAATAATGTGTCCAAGGCTGCATAGCTAAGACAGGGCAGACTCGGAATTCGAATCCTTCTCTGGTGCAGGTGCCCACACTTTTTCTGGGTGTATAATTTTAATAACTCCCCACATACTGGATTCCATTTGCCACTCAGGTTCTTAGAAATTGGATGTATTTAGGGGTGCCTGGGTGGCTCATTCAGTTGGGCATCCGACTTCAGCTCAAGTTGTGATCTCACGGCTTGTGAGTTCAAGCCCCGTGTCGGGCTCTGTGCTGACAGCTCAGGGCCTGGAGCCTGCTTCGGATTCTGTGTCTCCCTCTCTCTCTGCCCCTTCCCAACTCATTCTCTGTCTCTGTGTCTCCCTCTCTGAAGAATAAATAAAACAGTAAAAAATTTTAAAAATAAAGTTGAATGCATTTCACCGTGTAACTGTTCTCAAGTTCACTTGAACCATAAAGTGGCCTTAATATAACTTAACTAAACTATGTTACCTTAAAAAAAAATTGTCTTCGGGACCAAAGTATTTATCTCCTTGTTTTTCTGAGAAAACACATTCTCTCTTGAGGAAGTAGAGCAGCGAAACTGGAATATTCTTTGGCCCCAGATCTCCTAAGCTCGACAGTCCTGTGACCACACTCTAACCATCCCCCTCCGCCCCGGAACATGGTTTTTTGCCACTGGCATGAAGGGAACCACATGACCTTGGCCCTCCCCATGATGACAGCCATTCCCACAAAAGCCACTCAGTATGAGTTCCTGGCTCATCGTAGACTAGTCCATACTAGTTTCTGTTTCCCAGCAAAGAAAGAAACACCTATGTGCCTTCTTTAACTACAGATAACCTGTGTCTCAGGTGGGTTGGCTCAGACCTCCCTGCAGTGAACTTTCCACCTGATGGGGGAGTGTGGTGGCTACATGGGAATACAAAGATACGACCCCACCTTACTTCTTGTTTATAATTCTAAGTCTTAGAACAACTAACCCTTCCAGAGTGGTTTCTAAATGGACTAGATTCCTTTTTGATGCTGAGATGACCTATCTGGATTTTAGGAGAAGGTGTTCATTGCCCGGGTTATGGTGAATATGCTCCAATAATAATTGGCCTATTCTGGTAGTTCTCCACATATGTCAGCTGTATATTGGATTATTCTGCAGTGCCCTCTGGAATTCAGTAGTTGATGGACATATTTTTAACACGAATGTGTTCATTAGAACAGAGATCAAAGTGCAACCTGTTTTTACAGGCGGGTGGACTATTTTAACGTATTTAATATGTTTAATACATTTCATTTTTCTTCTATAAGATAAGACATTTTCCATAAGCAGGCTTTACTGTCAGAAATCATCTAATGAGTTACAGACACTCTTGTTACAGGAAAGACAGGTAGAAAGATGGAAAAGCTTATAAGGTAAAGACAGTGTATTTTCTACGTTGATTGGGAACTATCTTTTGGCTTCATGTTCCTAAAACTATTTTACCTCCTCTCCCTCAAAAAAAAGAAAAAAAGCAAATATTAGCCTTCACCTTCATTATCCTATTGATTTTTTTATAGGTAGTCGAATGAATTTACAAACCAAAGTGCAGCATAGTGATTTAAGCATTTTGCCATAAATCCTCATTCCTCTGTGTTTTGGGGTATGTTTGGAAGTTTCTCTTGTAATTGACCTTGTATCTCTTGCATCGTCAAGAATTCTGCATCCGACACAAGTGGACTTGAGAAGAAAAGTTGTTTTATTCCCATGCTGCTGCTGACGCCTTCTGGGTGCACGCTTGCTGTGAGCGGGGCTCACAAAGACAACTGAGTCTTCAGACCCCTCTAATGATCTCTTCGTAATCCGTAAATATTTAGGCGAGAAGGCCCTACTGTGTGCACAAGCCCTGCTCTAGGATGTTCGATAAATATTCGTGGGGTAGCAAATAACGGCCATCCTATGGCATAACATACCAGGCCACACAGCCGACGTGACAATAGGTTTGAAGGGTGGAAAATGGAAACCCCTGAGCTTTTCAGCTGATCACAATCAAATCAGAACACATCAAAACAGCTGGTGTTCTGTGACTCAGAATCAATCAACCGGTTTTGAATCACTTCATACCTCTTTATTTCTCTTTACAGTTTCACAGGAGAGATTTAAGCCAGCATATGTCCTTCCCATTTGGTTAAATCCCTGCTTTGAGCAGCTTGGCTTTCATATTCTAATACCAGCAAATGAAACTGACTGTAACATAAAAGAAAAAAAAAATAGTGATAAAGGCCGGCATTAGGATGATTTCTTTAACCGACGTTGCTCCGTTTGTATTAAGTAAACCGGGTAATCCTGCATGAGCGGTCTTGGTGTGGTTTAGAAACATGGCACCAGTCGTCGTACGTCTTGAAGTTCATCATCCGTATTTTAATGATTATCCAACTCCCGGTATCTGGGGAAGATCAACAGTAAGTTAGCAAATGAGAGTTAAAAGTTACGATGTATTCTGGTTTCTGACACTGGCTCTTCCTTTTGTTCTGCCAGGTACCTATTACACCATTCTTTGGCGAAGGTTATTCAGCAGTGGTGACCCCTTACAATCGAACACTCTACAAATTATTATCTCTGGACTCCCAGCTGACACCCTGCCGGAGGCAAGAGCTACTGAGCCAACTGGAACTGTGCCTTTTCTCTTGTCAAGGTTTTTTTCTTACACAGGAAAAAGGAAGAAAAAAAAAAAGATGAAGTTGGGCAAAGTGGAGCTCTGCCATTTTCTGCAGCTAATAGCGCTTTTCCTGTGTTTCTCTGGGATGAGTCAAGCAGAGCTCTCCAGGTCCAGATCAAAGCCCTATTTCCAATCAGGGAGGTCCCGGACCAAGCGCAGCTGGGTGTGGAATCAGTTCTTTGTGCTGGAGGAATACATGGGTTCAGACCCTCTCTATGTAGGAAAGGTAGGGCATTTGGCCTTTCAAAGTCACAAATGATTATTGTGAATGTCTGCGATTGGATGGAGAACTGCTCTTTTTGCTCTGGGGATGGAACACGTAAACTTGTTGCTCCTGTGAAATAGTTCGTGAAGTTTTTGGCATTAGTTCCTCTGAAAGTAGAGCCTGGGTTGGTATCCGTACAGTGAAGCCATAATTTAGGGAGTGAGTGATGCTTTAGTCCTGCATCCAGATGAGTCCGCAGATGTCTAGTTTACCAGGATTGTGGCACACTGATAAAACTTTTATTTCCAAAATCAGAACAAGAATATTCACTGATAAATGAAGAGTGGTGGGTGCTTCTAGCCAGTCGATTTGTTTTTTAGCTTCATTTTTGGGGGTCGGTACGGTGCACACACTAACTTTATGCGTATCTATCCTTTTCTGATGCTTGCATTTGAAAAACTGCCAAGTGACATTATTGGGTCTGTTGTCCTTCAGTCATGAGCGGTTCTGACCCCCCTTTCCTTAGTGGTGGTCTTGTGTTGGTGGATGTGTGGTTTTGTTTTTTAGGTTTTCTTTTTGGTTAAAAAATGGATGCGAACAGAAGTCAGTTTCTAATCGACATTAGACCAAAGGTGGGCACCTTGTGGTACATGGGTTCGGTGGCCACGTCGTCGTTGGAGCCAAATTGGGACGTTTCCCCTCCCGCCACAGATTCTTTCCCTTTGAATACTTGGGCATGGGATTTGCATTCAAAGGCTTTCTGAACTGAGGGGCCTTTGGAGAGAGCCTGGCCTTTCCCCCTATCATCCTTGTATCCCGTTCCCAGTCTCCAGCCTACTGCAAGCTTGATAATGTTCATATTTGTAAAGATGTTTGGAATTTCTCGTTTTGGTGCTGGTAAAGAGTTTCTAAGTAGAATGCACTGGCAAGATGTCTGTACATCCACATTTCTGTACTTTGCCAGTTTTGTGTGTCTATTCTTGATAAAATGGAGCGTAGCACACTGATGAACTTATCTGAGAGAATTTTCAATTTTGAGTGCTTGAGGAAGAACCTTTGCCGTTTATTCCACGGATCATTGTTTCATTTGAACATACCTTAAATAAGAGTGAAACATCTGTTTTTGTTGATGAGTATCTATATAAGTCAAGGTAATCTTCATTATGTTATTTTTCTTTTAATGCCTCTATATTTTACAAATACCGATACTATATTATAAACAAAAAGGATGAACAAGTTAAGGGTTTCCAGGGATGTGGAGTAGGATATGCCCAATTGTAGCATTTTTCTGACCTAACAAAGAATATGTAAGTACACAGAGCCATTCTGCCTTAACCAGTAGGGTACCATCATAGATACTGTGCATGTACTAAATCTCTCTGTCTCAGTCTCTCTTACCCATATTCTCATAAACGAAGTGAGAGCAGTAATCATTATGCGGTGTTATTGACGAGGAATCTAGCTTTTAATTTCATTCATTTGTAATGAATATTTAACAGATTCATCAAAGTTTGTTTTCAGTAGATAGGTGTATAAAAATCAACTAATTCATAAAGAATCAGTAGTTATTAGCTGAAATCACACTTTTATGGGAATGTAAAATTTTCTAAAGGCAACGAAAATATTCCCATTAATTGAGTTTTAAATGGAGTTGCTTGAATGAGATTGAGATTTTGAAATCAACATTACTTAAAATTTTTAAAGTGCTCTTATTTTAACTTTTAAAGTTTTCACATCATAATTGAGAGTGCTTATATCGAAATAATCCCCTTAAGTCCATTTAGAATTCTGGAAACGCGTGCCCCTAGGTTAAATTCCAAATGCACATAAAGCTACTGGGCAATGCTGATGTCATTTTTCTAAGAGAGATTGTGGGATTCCTTGATTGGTAATGTTATCTGTGCTTCTCTTTCAATTAATCAGTGACCACTGTTTAGTAGATTTTATGTGACAGGAAGCAAGTTTGTGTTTATCTCTTGCAGGCTATATCGTGGGAGTTCAGTGTTGCCATTCACAGTAAAAGAATGTCCAGGGTGGTAAATAGGTTAAAAAACTAACCAACCCATGACTGAAAAAAAATACAGAAAAACAGTAAAATAATTTGAGATGGAGAGGGAATTTATAGACAAAGCATCAAAGGCTTCAAAGGAACAATTTACATTTGCTTAGGAGGAGGTGGCAGAGAACTTGAATACTTTTGGATTGTATGTATGAGATGCCAGAATGAATCTCCTTGGTTTGATGGTCTGAATAAGTAGTTATAACAATGAGTTTGACCTTGGTACATTTTCGATCACTTGGGGTATGTGGAATAAATAGATTTTCCTTTTTTTTTTTTTTTTAACTTGAGGGAGGTAATGGGTGTGACCAAAAGTTTTCATAGGACATAGAAAATGAAAAATTATAGATGTAGACGTGGAAGAATGGAGAGACAGATGTTCATGGAAAGGAAAGAAGGAACGCAATCGTTACTTTTTCTGGATGCGTATTTAACCTGTAGTAATTGGATGGTCAGACTCTTCGACTTCCTGACACAATCCAGCTACTTAATTTGGAAAATATAAATAATGACTTTGATGAACGTGATAGTCTAGTTTGATCACATAATGGATAAATACAGTGTGTGTCAGATCGACTTCAGTTTTATTGCGGACTCTATGACTTCCTACTCATTGTGGAACTTTGGATAAATTGCCCAATATTACTAAATTTTACAAATATTATTAAAATTTACTAAATATTACTAAAATCAGCTTTAAAATGGGAATAATGAAGGGCACCTGGGTGGCTCAGTTGCTTCAGCATCTGATTCTTGATTTCAGCTCAGGTCATGATCTTGTGATCATGTGATCGAGCCTTGCGTCAGGCTCCATACTTGGGTATGTCTCTCTCTCTCTCTCTCTCTCTCTTTCTCTCTTTCTCTCTCAACCCCGTTTCCCCACTCATGCTCTTTCTCTGTCTCTCTCTCTCAAAATAAATAATAAACATTAAAAAAATAAAGACAGTGGGGTTAATAATACCTATAATCCAAGTGTCTTTCTGAGAATAAATGAGATCAAAATATTTGGAACATATATTAATTTAATCTAGACATTCTATTTATCTACTTTACATATACTGTTTATAAAAACAACTGCATTCCAGATGATCTATTGTGTGTCCAGGGTTGTATTTGTTATCCTTCAAGTGAAAGCAGACATCATTTTATGTACTAAATAGTACTTAAACTTTTTGCAGTCATTTAGGAGAATGGTCTGTGTAGGGTGTGCTTAGAAATACAGCACATCTTCATATTTCTTTCTGATTAGACTATGGCAAAAATATGGTTAGTAAGCAGGTGATTCTTTAAACACAGGGAATTCACATGTCAGAGAGATTGTATCTAATTCTTTAGACCTTCAAATTTGGAGACCATATTTATGGATGGTGGGCAACAAGATGTATTAAATGAAATTTGGTCATTAGGACATTGAGGCTAATGTGGTTAGAAGATGGCTGGTGCTATTATTATTATTTTAGGCAGTTTCCTGGGTTTGTGTAACATAACAAGTCAAGACCAAAGTAGAACAGTCTGTGGAAGGGGACTAGCAGTGCTTCTAGAACCCTTATCAAGAGACCTTCTTGGTACATACTTCTGGGCTGTGTTAGAATCTGACATTTACCATTAGCATCCCACTTTATTCTTGTGATACAAATTGATAAACTCATGGATCTAAATATATAGACTTAAGGAAAGAATCACTAGACATTACTGTGGCAGGACTTCTTTATTGAGGCGTAATTGATATACAACATGTATGTATGTAAATATATACACATATATACATGTGTACGTACATACACATACGTATATATATATATAACGTATTATACTGATATATAATATTAGTTTTAGGCTTACAGCATAATGGTTCAATATTTGTATGTATTATGAAATGTTCACTATAGTAAATCTAGTTAAAATCTGTCACCTTACACTTTACATTGCTACAATTTTATTTTTTTCTTGTAATGGGAACTTTTTAAGATTTCCCCCCTTAGGAATTTTCAGATACACAGTGGGGTGTCATTAACTATAGTCACCATGCCGTATGGAGTACTGTTTCAAAGACTAATAGTGTGCCCTTCTCTAAGAGTAGCTCTTAATTACCGTCATGACTGTTTTCTTGTCCTTTTACAGGGAGAATTAGGTGGAGAGTCCTCCCCCGCCCCTCCCCCCCCCACCCCGTGACTTAATGTCACCCTGAACTGGCTATTTGAAGTACACAGGAAGTAGCAGTTTCCAGCCTTCTCATTGCATCACAATGCACTTTTCTAGATTAGTCTTTTCCTTGCCTTGGCATTTCTCACTAAATGTCCCCTTAACCATCTGACACAAAAAAATTTGTCTACAGAACCACTCGGCCTCTGTTCCAGGTATTAAGTGTTTTTCATCTCTTCTGCCCATAATGGGCTGCTAGCTGATGGCTGTGCTCTGGGCTGTTACTTTCCCTGAAATGTGTGCTTCGTGCCTGTTCCGCGGTCGGCTCTCTAGCTGTTAACATCACTCTTGCCTTTTAGGCTACTCCCCTCTCTTCCCTCCTCATTCAGGCAGAATTTATACCTGTTACCCTGGTCGAAATCAAATATATAAGAAATGCAGTGTGGGATTCACTCTGCTTTAAATTTAAGCTTGCTGGAAAGCGTTGGTGAGCATTTTCCGTGCATTTGATTGCACCTCAGCAATATCTCCTACCAAGAGATTCTCTGTCTCCTGATAACTGAAGCTATGTTCAGCGTTCCAGAAAGGAAATATTCATCTTGAAAATAGGTTGTGTTTAAAAACTGAGTTCTGCATTAGATTCCTTAATGGGGCGAATTTATATTAGATGAACAAAAAGAAAATAATCACAAATATTAATTCCTTAGGAAAGAGCATGTTCATCATAGTCAAATTTCTATTTTATAGATTTGGGAGAGCAAGAATGCAAAAGTGTCCTCCAAATCTATAGATGACTTAAAGTTGGCTCCGGTCGTAGAAG